TGTGACCATCCCCTTTTGTGGTGATGGTAGTAGGGGGATGATTTCTCACTTTCCCCTTCTCTCTCTTTCTCTGGCAAATGCATGTGCTCTATGGAGAAAAAAAAATAGATACCATTTACTGAGATAGGAAAGATGGAGAGGAACAGGTTGGATGAGGGTTAGCAGATGAGGCAGGGAGAGAATGGAAAAAAGCTCCATTTTTGTGTTTCTTAAGATGGATTAGAGATCATTGCCTAGGTCTATTGCTTATTAAGCTGAATGTCATATCTGTCAGTAATCCATTTAGCAAATATTTTTAAGCTGTTCATAGTGACAGACACTGATAGGCATGGGGTATGAAATGGTAGAGCAAAAACAGACATAGGCTTTGCCTTCATGGGACATACAGTTCAGTGGAACATTCAAACATTGAATACTGTCAAAAAATGGGTAATATCTATGTTGCTAATATTATGTAGCTATATTAGTATATATCCTAAATCTGAAGACTATATTTGAGGAAAAATCATGAGATTTCATCAAGTTTATAGCACTCAATATTATGGATGCTTGAAAAATACGTAGTTAACGTGAGCAAGACTGCAAGAAATGTGTGGTGTGACGGGGTACATTTGGACCTGGTGTATGCCACTAGGAGCTGTACTTTGAGCCTTTGATTATAGATGGGAGCCCTGCAGCACAGAGTGGGGAAGGGAATTGCCCAAAAGTACTGACTTCCAGAGCCATTTGCTTTAGTTGTCTCATAATGATAAATTTCTTTTGACCCCAGGGAACAAAAACTAAGCTAGCTCGGGATTAGGGGACTCGTTATAGAGCATCTAACTGGAAATGACAGGGAGATCCAGGGATAGGCAGTTCAGTGTATCTCTACCTCAGGGACCGCTGTGGGAACTGGGGCATTGCCAGGAGCCAAGACTGCTCTTATTGTAGAAATAGTATCTCTCATGGCTGTTCTCGTGTTTTTCTCTCTCCAGCAATCAGCTTCCTTTATTTTTTTTTTTAAGAATTATTTTATTTAACTTTTGTTTATTTATTTATTTAAATTTGACCAAAGAGAGACAGAGCAAAAAAGGAGAAAGCAAGAGGGAAAGTGAGAAAGCAAGCAAGCCACCAAGTCTGGGACCTGAACTGCAGTCAGCCGTGTGGAAGTCCAGCGCCCTTAACCTCCATGCCACCTGCTGGACTCCCAGCTTCCTTTTTTTAATGTATGGTTTCCTTACCCCCAGGAAAACTTCATCTTCCCCAGCCTCAGCTCTTCTTGACCTTTTAGCTATAGAACCCATCACCATCTGGCTGCTCACCTCTTTCCTGATTATGTGATTGGGTCCAATTTATCTTTTGTTCTGTGCTAAAAAAAATCATAATGATGTTTGCTAAAGTATGTATGTGTTGCTATATGAAATGTAGAACTGAAGTAATACAGTGAGAGAAAGAAAACTTTGTACTTCTTTCATATTCAAAAGGCATGCATGGGACCAGCAGACGGCATAATGGTTATATCATTGGACTCCCACATGGTTGACCGGATTGGAGTCCTGGACCCAGAGGCTTGAAACTCACGCCAGGCACATGTATGTGTGTGCCCAAAATCCCAAGAGGAAAATGGAGGAGGAGAATGCAGTGTGACCACCCCCCTGGGGGAGGTGATTTCTTGTTTTCTGTCTCTCTCTGTCTCTCTGGCTCTCAGCCCACATGCCCTATAGCAAAAAAAATCTCTTAAAAAAAAAAAAGGTATGCATAACTAGGATGTTGTTATTATTGTGTTTGGGTTTTTTTGTTTTGTTTTGTTTTGTTTTTAGCTTTTTGCCATAGGGCATATGTACTTGTCAGAGAGAGAGAGAGAGATCACCCTCTGGGGGGATGACACCACAATCCTTTTCCTCTTCTCCTGTCAGGATTTTGAGCATGCACACAACATGCACGGCATGATTTTTAAACCACCATGCACTGATAGTTCCTCTCCCTGGAATTCATTTCTCTCAGACAGTTGTGCAACTCTCCCATGGTTGGCCATGTGCGAGTCCAGCACCTTAACCATCATGCCACCTGCTGGCCCCAGAATATTGTCACTTATTAATTAATGAATAAACTTTTTTTGAGCCGAACACTGTCCTAAGTATACCTAGAAGCTTATAGTAAATCTGGGGCTACCAAAAGAATCTACATGAAATGGTTAGAGAGTAGTTAATTGTTGAAGTTTCCAGTTCTGGGCAAGTCAGGTGGCAGAGTAGTTATGGATCCCACATGGCCAGCTGGATCCTACATGGTGACTGTTTTCTAGGCACATGTGTGTGCTTAAAATCCCAACAGGAGAATGGAGGAGAAGGGAGTGCAGCATGGCCATCTTCCCTGGAGTGATTTCTCACTTTTTCTGTCTTGCTCAGCAAGCACACACACCCTGTAGCAAACTACTGAAAAAGGAAAGAAAAAAAAAATCCAGTTCTGACTGGACTGAAAGGGTTTTTAATAACCGGAAGATCAGCATGGCCTAGAGTTGTTGGAAAAGCAAGTCTCTCCAAGAGTCGAGATGGGATGAAAGCTTTGAAAGCTGTTTGGGATTTAAGGCAGCAGGAAGGGAACACCAGTCATTTCAGGCAGTGTTGTGCTTCAGTTAATTGTAGGTTTTTCTTGTTGAAAGTAATAGGGAAGGGGAACATAGAGAAAGAATTGCAAAGTTTAAAGTTGGACGAGCAGGAAGCCATTGTAGTCTCTTGATTAGAAGAGTGACATCATTAAGGGTCTGTTTGAAAAGTAATCTGTCGTTCATACCGTGCAATATATGCCAAGCAGTGATGGATATCTATAACTTGCAAATGATTCAGAAAAAAATGTATTCATCTGTGCATACGTACAAACAATGTGACAAGATGTTAGCGACCTTGAATCAAGGTGGCAGGTATATGGGTAATAATTTTTATTTAGTTCATTAGTTTGATAGTCCTTTTTCCCCTCACTCTCCTCTTAGGATTTTGAGCAGGCATACACACATGACTGGTGTGTTTTTAAGCCACTGAGCCTGGGACTCTAACCACTCAGTTGGCCATATGGGATCCAGCTGCCTTCATGCCACCTGGTTGGTCCCTGGGTAATCGTTTTACTATTTGACTTTTCCTTGCATAACGATATGTTTTATGTGTCTGCACGCACAATACATGTATATTTTTAAGGAGAGAAATGGGACGTTAGCACAAATTGCAGTTGTCATTTAAACTTTCTAACATGCTTGTCATCTTTCAAGTTGTTTTGAAAATAAAAATTTGATTTAGATTTTTAAATGAATTTTTTTTGTTGTTTAGATCACCTTTTTCAAGCATCAACTCAGATTCAGTTTTTCCCCTCAATAGCATGGGAGATGTATATGTATTCTGTTCTAGTTATTCTTTAGGAAGATATTCGTTAGAGGGAATCTTTGTTTTTTTGAAAATAAAAACAGAAATGACTTCTCATTAATCCAAGTGAATTACAGCTTTTGAGAGGCTTCTGTGGCAAAATTGCTTTTAACTTCAAAAATCCTATAATTCTATGGATCTTATTTTTAGATGAGGGTGTGTATTTGTTTTTAAATGCTAGTTGGCCCTGGATGCGGCGTTTTTCTGCATGTGGCTGGAGCATGTGCTTCCTGCTTACTTGCCTATCTTTAATGCACATGTGGCCAGAGCAGCAGCCAAGCCTCGCTGTTTCTAATTATTCAGTAATTCTGCTTGCCAATGAGGGGGCTTCAAAATTCACAAAAGAAGCATGTTATGAAGAGACTGTCCATGGAGTTCAAAAAAAAAAATTAGCACCAGAATAAACTCATGTTTTAATTTCATTTTCCACCAACTTCTCAAAATCCCCCTGGTATTTCTAGGCTACACTAATAGCTTCTTAAACCAAAAAAATAAATAAATAAATAAAATGGCCTATAGTAATTAATTTTTGGGTTTTGTTTTTATAAGCACAGACTCTTGGAATAAGAATAGAAGATATGACATATCCTAACATCTTTAACGAGGTTAACACCCATGCTTTTTGTCTCCATCATGTCATATCAAGTTTTATTTTGAACTGTTTTTCCTTTATCTATTTAACACTGTTTTGCGAGAATAAACAGTCTTGAATTATTGTTGAAGAATATATTAGAATCAAATTATAGAACCAAACATTTCTAGAATTCATTGTCTTGTAGAAAACGTTAGGCCTTGAGTTTGTTTATACTGTAATAGTTGAATGACCCAATTAACCTATTTTAATTGCTCTCAAAAAGATAAAAGACCATTAATTGCTACATTAATTGCATTTGAATTCTTCCCCTCCTCCCACATCCTTAATGAAGTCGTGTGAATTGTGTCTATTAGTAGATCTTTATTTCTTGAAAAATAGTGTTAAGGATTCTAATAAGTTTTTGTTTCATAGGAAGAAAAATGTGTATAAATACAATAATGGCTAAGGTTAAGACAGTGGTGTGCAGAATGTGATGGCGCTGAAGTCCCCGCCTGCTCTTAAAGGAGGATGTGTACTTTACAGAGGAATGCTTGGTTGGGAGGGGAAGGGGGGGTCAGTACCAGAAGACTTCAGGCTGCCGTCTTTCATCCTATTTTGTTAGAAATATCAGGAGAGGTTTTTGGAGAGACTAGAAGGGAAATAAGCCAAAATGTCAACAGAGATTGTAGCGGACAGAGAGGGTATTGATTATTTTTCTTATTTCTCAAATGTTTGTGGGTAATTTTAATGGGAAAAAAAAGACAAACTTAAAAAATTTTTATTTTAGGGATAACTCCACTATAAACTTTACCTCATTTTTACACAGGGGAAAAATAGGCTTTTATATTTTTAGCATAACCTTCGGTTATTAGAATCTTAGTTATAACACATTGTATGTTTTGTTCTAAATAAATCTTTGCTCCAAGAAACTGTTTTTCAAAAATCCCTAAGCCTAAATCAGACTTCTGCCTGCCTGTTTACTTTTTGCTAAGCCTATGTTTATTGGGACCATATGTTCTCCTGAGTTATCTTTGCTCATGATCAACTGGACTTTCTGCCCTCATACGACCTTTGTGTCAGAGGACAGTAGAAGTGCCAACTTCTTGAGCACTTCAAAAGAGCAAATCAGTATCACATGGGAGAGCTTTTATTCCTCTGTTGCCCTCCTATTTTAATGAGGCTGGGGATACAGCAGAGCCTCAGGAGATGATTGTGGCTTGGTGTGGCATTGTAGGGAGGTGTCGTGAGAAACCCTCATGAGTGCTGCGGTCCTCTCCAATCAGAGGTCTTCGGCTGTAGCCTTATAGTCAACACTCTTATTTCTTGTGAAATTGGTATATTTTCTTCAGAATTTTGCAAGCGAAGTGTTTTAAATTTCTAGAGACTTTTTTTTCATAAAAATAGTATTAGAAAGGCAGCCCCACAATAGCCTTTTGTGAAATTAACTGTAATAATATAATAGACCCTGTCATTGTTTTATGGAGAAATGATTTCTGGTTTTAAACTTAGAGGCGATTAATAATGCATGTTAACATATTAGGGTTCACAAGATCTTGCAGTAAATACAACTATTAACTTTTTTTTTTTGGAGAGGTTTTTGCTATAGGGTGTGTGCGCTCACCAGACAGACAGAGAGAGACAGAGAGACAGAAAGCGAGAAATCACCCCCCAGGGGGGATGGCCACACCACAATCCCTTCTCCCCCATTCTCCTCTCGGGATCTTGGGCACACACGCACACACGCCCAGCGTGAGTTTAAGCCACCGGGTCCGGGACTCGAACCGCTGTCAACTATGTGGGAGTCCAGCGACAGCCATTACACTAATTGCTGGTCCCTTAACTAACTTTTTTAATCCTTTATTTCTCAATTTATTTGATCATGAACTATTTCTCTTGAGTCATAGATACTAAGAACTGATATAACAATGTTCCTTTGGACACAAGTTTGAGAAACACATCTGTAGTAGCCTCCTTTCTCTGTTCTCTAAAGTGGCTGTTTCAGACCTCTGCAGCTTCAGTTCAAGCCCCCAGTCCTGTCTCAACCCTATTTATTTTCAGACCTAATCTCTATTTCACTAAGAAAATAGGTGTTGTCTCTTTTCCTCTTAATTTATTAGTGTCCTTAAACCTTCTCTACTGGGGCCGGCAGGTGGTGTGGTAGCTAAGGGTGTCTGACTCCCACATGCTGACCGCGGTTCAAGTCCCAGACCTGGTGGCTTGCTTTCTCACTTTCCTCTCTCTCTCACTTACTGTCTCTCTCATGCACTCTGTCCCTCTCTGGTCAAATTAAAAAATAATTGAAAAATAATAAATAAATAATAAATAAAGTTAAATAAAAATAATTCTTTAAAAAATCCTTTCTACTTATCTAGATTTTCGTCCTACCACCAGACTGTAACCTAGATGAAGTCAGAGGACATAAATTTTGTTCAGTATTGTATCCCTATCCCTAAACACAGAGCTTCTTCTTGAATCTGTATCCCCTCCCAGGAACTACCTCATTTTTCTATATTCTGTCCCCGCCCCTCCATCTGAGTATACCACAATCCACTTCAGCCACAGACCACGCAGAGTCACCATAAACTCCACAAATTAAAGGAAATGGTCCCAGAAAGACTGTCCCACATTCTAAATACCAGTCTTACTTCAGATGACTCCCAGGTCACCTACACTTTTGACCAGCTAGTTATAAATATGGGATTTTCTTGATCTCCAGTTTGATAATTTACTAGAACAATTCACAGAACTCAGGGAAGCATTATACTTAAATATACCATTTCATTATAAAGCATTCAAATTAGAAGGACCACCCCCCAAAAAAAGAAAGAAAGTAAGAAAGAAAAAGAAGGCGACGACCAGTGAGGTCTGGGAGGGAATGCAGAGCTGTGTCCTCTCCTCATGGAGTCAGGGTGCATCATCTCCCCAGCCCACTGGTGTGTTCACAAACCCCGAAAGCTCCACTGAGCCTTTCATGGCCAGGGTCTTACTGGAGTGTCATGACATAGGCATTACTCTCCTCTTACTCAAGAAGTTCTAAAGAATTGGAGTCTACCTCCCAGGAATCAGCAGCAAAGGCCAGTCAAATTCTTTATTATATGATACTCCTCAAAAGAATTGCTGTGTATTTTTCTCTTGAATTTTTTCTTGAGCTCATTCCAGTCTGGCTTTTGCCCTATTCCTATTTCACATCGATGACACTTATTTAAAGTTATCAATATCTTTCACATCGCTAAATACTGTGATCTACTTGAAATCCTTATTACCTGATAGCAGTATCTACCACAGTTAAGTTCTCCTTGAAACGTTTTATTTATTTGGCTTCTTGGGTGCCATTCTTTCTCTTAGTTCTGTTCCCATGCAATGGTCAGTCTCCTCCATCTCTTAAGGGTGGAATACAGCTCAGTCCTCAAATCTCTTCCTTCTCAGATGCTGTTGTCACAAGACAAAATATAGTAAATTCAGTTATAGATGTAATTGACTTTTATTATGAACTCATGAATCTGGACAGCTTACATTCTGTAACACAGAATGAGAGCTCCCTCTCTAGACAATAACGGAACAGTAGGAATGTATTTCATAGTCATTAAGGATTGAACAAGATAATGCATAAAACAAACCTCGCAAAATTCTGGAACATAGAAAGCACTCAATAAATTGTAGCTATTGTTATTGTATGACAGTCTGCCCAATTGGACTGCAAGCTTCTCCAGGGCAGGGACCAACCTTAAACCTAGCACTGTTCTTGACTTGTAGTAGCTGCACAGCAAAGGTTTGTTGAGTTAAAATGGATCATAACAATATATTGATTAAGTGGTTTGTGTAACCATATGAATTAACAGTGGGACCTCAGCTGTTTATTTTCTTCTCCCTAGGTGCATTGTGTTGTAATCATTCAAAGGATAACCAAATGTGCCGTGACGTATGTGAACAGGTAAGCTGGTAAAATAATTGTAGAGGTTATTAGGTGTGTAACTTCATTAAGTGTAATTGTTTTGGAGATATGTGTTAGCAGCTTAATCAAATGATCAGAGTAAACATCACAACAGTGGGACAGATTGACATGTGTCTGCTGACATGATCCACTAAAAAGGAATGCAATATTTTATAAAGGATTCGTACCAAACATTGGTAACGTGAATCATGAGGAAACAATTGGGCAAACCACAGTGAGGGATGGTTTTCCAGACAACAGCATGCATATACTGGACCAGCAGATGGCGTAATGGTTACATCGCTGGACCCCCACGTAGTCAACCGCTGTCTCAGTCCCAGACTCGGTGGCTTAAACTCACACCAAGTACATATACATGCGTGCCCAAGATCCTGAGAGCAGAATGGAGGAGAAGGGACTGCAACATGGCCATCCTGCCCCAGGGGATGATTTCTCGCTTTCTGTCTCTCTGGCGAGCACATGCGCCTTATACCAAAAATCTCTCTTCAGAAAAAAAAAAGTATCCTTGTTATACAAGCAAAAAAAAAAGACTAAGTCTAAATTTGATAAAAACCAAAATAGGTTTAAAAATGGTTCCATATTAAAGGAGACTAAAACTTGACAATTAAATGTAGTAAGTGACCTTGGAGTAGATCCTAGAAGGAAAAAAAATTGTTATAAAGAACATTATTGGAATGAATGGATAAAATCTGAATGTGAATTAGATTAACTGATAGTGTCATATCAATACTATGATCCTGAGGCCAGCAGGTAGTGTAGTGGTTAAGGTGCTGAACTCCCACATATTCAGCCACAGTTCAAGTCCTAGCCTTGGTGGCTTCAAACTCACATTGGGCACATGTGTGTGCATGCCCAAAATCTCGAGTGGAGAATGGAAGAGAAGAGATTGAGGCATGGCTGTTTCCACTGGGAGTGGTGTGTGTGTGTGTGTGTGTGTGTGTGTGTGTCTGTGCGCACGTGCATGTGTGTGTTATTTCTTGCTTTCTGTCTCTCTTTGTCTCTCTAGCAAGCATACAGGCCCTATAGCAAAAATCTCAAAAAAACAAAAAATACTGTGATTCTGAATTTGGTCATTGTATTGTGGTTAAATATGATGGTGTTCTTGTTTTTAGGAGATACATGCTAGGATTTAAAAATGAATGATCATAATCTCTACAATGAATTCTAAAATGGTTTATCAAAATAATATATATATATATACACACATAAAGATGGTTACTGCGAATGTTGCAACATGTTAACAATAGATTAATAATGATGAAGAGTCCATAAATATTCACTGTGCTACTCTTTTTTTTTTTGGAGAGGTTTTTGCTATAGGGTGCGTGCGCTCACCAGAGAGACAGAGAGAGACAGAAAGCAAGAAATCACCCCCCCAGGCGGGATGGCCATACCACAATCCCTTCTCCTCCATTCTCTCGGGATCTTGGGCACGCATGCACACACGCCTGGCATGAGTTTAAGCCACCGGGTCCGGGACTCAAACCATGGTCAACTACATGGGAGTCCAGCGACATAGCCATTATGCTAACTGCTGGTCCCCACTGTGCTACTCTTAAAACTTTTCTGTAGGTTTGAATTTTTCCAATTGAGCCTTTTAATTCAAGGCTTAAACAATACCTGTTCGTAAGGTTTTACCTGTCTTTCATCATCTTGGTTGTATAGTTCCAACTCTTGAGAAATAATTGGTTTCCTTTGGCTTTTGGAAAGGTTTTCAGGTAATCACCTGGGTTTTTTCACTTCCTAAAACAGAGAGAACTACTTAACTTGGACTATCACTTCTCTCAAGCAATACTGTGGACTTAGAAAGATTTTGCAAGGTATTCTGAGACTATAAGACATGAAAATGATTCAGTTTATCTAAATAGCTCTTCTCAGATTATAAGACATGAAAATGAGTCACTTTATCTAAATAGCTACTAGAAAATCCAGTGACCTGTTAAACCACTATTCAGGTTAAGTTTTCTACCAATTTTATGCCAAAACAATAGGTTTTTTGTTGTTGTTTTAAAGCAAAAAAAAAAACAAGACCCTTGACATGGTCTCCATTAAGAAGCTTTGTTTTTGTATTTTAATTCATTTATTTACATCCATTCACTGTACATCAATACAGTATACAAAATGAGATTTTTTCCATCCAGAATACACTGTATACTGGCTCAATCAAGGATATTACCATGTTATCATCAACAAATACTTTTCCATTTCTTGTTTCTTATAAATTTTGCTCTCCCCTTGATTTCCTACCTCTCAGTCTCTGCCATTTCCTACCCGCCTCCAACACTGTTGCTGGTATCTACAGTTGTTTTTCAAAGAAAAAAAAAAAGAAGGCATGGAAAAAAACTGTAAATTACATTAAGAAGCTTTTAAAGTAGCACTGCTACTTTTGGAAACACTGCTTTCCCAACTTTTCACCTTGGTTTCTTCTTTCTTTTTCCACTAGTGTTTCATAAAGTGAATTACTTTGTTTTGTTTGTTTTGTTTTGTTTTGACATAGGGCATGTGCACTCACCAGAGAGAGATAGAAAGAGGGAAAATGAGAAACCACTCCCTGAGGAGATGGCCACACAATCCCTTTCTTCTATTCTCCTCTTGGGATTTTGGGCATGCGTGCACATGCACCCAGCATGCTTTTCAAGCCACTGGGTCCAGGACTCCCATTTGTGGTCAGCCATGTGGGAGTCCAGCCTCCTTAGTCCACCAAGGCAAATGATTTTTAAGCAGTATCTTATAATATGGCAAGGTCCAGTTTCTTTTTCTTTTTTTGGAGAGGTTTTCGCTATAGGGCACGTGCACTCGCAAGACAGAGAGACAGAAAGCGAGAAATCACTCCCCAGGGGGGATGGTCACACCGCAGTCCTTTCTCCTCCATTCTCCTCTCAGGATCTTGGGCACACACGCACACGCGCCCGGTGTGAGTTCTAAGCCACTGGGTCCGGGACGCAAACCGTGGTCGACTATGTGGGAATCCAAGCGACAAAGACATTACGCTAACTGCTGGTTCCCAAGGTCCAGTTTCTTGAAATAGGGAGTTAAGTTAGAGGCCAGCCGTGGTGGCACAGTGATAACCCAGCATTCTGTGATGCTGAGACCATGTGAGAGGGTCCCTGGTATGTGCATATTGTAAGTAAGAGTGATTCTAGCTGGCTACAGCTGGTGTCATGGCCATGGTATGAGGACTTTGTTAGGAGTGCCTCTCTCTCTGCCTCTCTGTCTTTCACCCACTCTCATGGAAGAAATAAAAATCAACTTTAGGGAGAAAATATCTGGGATGTGAGAAATTGTGAGACCAGCAGGTGGAGTAGTGGTTACAGCACTGGATTCCCACATGGCTGACCACAGTTTGAGTCCTGAACCCAGTGGCTTGAAAATCACACTGAGTGTCCGTGTGCGTGTGAAATTTGGAGATTTGGAAGAGAAGGGATTGAGTGTCCGTGTGCGTGTGTGCTCTAAATCCCAGATTTGAAATTTGGAGATTTGGAAGAGAAGGGATTGTGGCATGGCCATCCCTCCTGGGGGTGATTTCTCACTTTCCTTCTCACTGTCTCTGTTTTTCTCTGGCAAGTGCATGTGCCCTATGGCAAAGACATTTTAAAAAGGGACCAGATATGTAATGGTTATGTCACTAGACTCCCACATAGTAGACCATGGTTTGAACTCCGGACCCAGTGACTTGAAACTACACTGGGCACATGTGCGTGCCTGGCCAAGATCCTGGGAGTAGAATGGAGAAGGGATTATAGTGTGGCTACCCTTCCCAGGGGGTAATTTCTCACTTTCTGTTTCTCTATCTCTCCAGCTAGCTCACATGCCCTAGAGCAAAAATCTTTTTAAAAAAAAAACTTAAAAAAAGAAATTCTGTAATTCAGCAAATGAACTGAATACTATTATTGTCATCCTAATAGAGAATATTCTTTCCTAAGTTCTCAACTAATTGAAAAAAAAGCAGATAGGTTCCAAAATACTACTTTTATTTCTATAATTGTTACACTAATGTTGGATTTGGTTTTTATCTCCAGGTTCACACTGAACAACAAAATTAGACAACAAAAAAATCTTCCAGAAGAGATGTAAGGGCTAAGCTAATACGCTTCCTTTCTCCTACCAAATTCAAGTCAGCTAAGTCAGTCATTCCAGTAACTGGAGGAGTGAGTGAGGGTATGGAAAGTGAGTAGCGATAATTCCAAAATTCCAAAAGGAAGGAAATACCGGGAATTGACAGTTCATTATTTCTTCAGCCAGTAGAGAATGAAGAGAGGACGGAGTCTTGATGACTGTTGGGTTGGAGTAAAGAGCTATACCTTTGATATTTTGGGGAGGAAGCTCTGTGGAGAGTGCTGGACATTTGGACTTGAAACTTTTGGAGTTGGAATTCAGATAAGTCGGATCAGGTGGTTTATACTAGTCAACTAAATAAGAGTAACTGTTTCCAGTGAGACCGTTAGCAGTGTCAGATGCCAAAGAAAAGTCGAGGAGTTTGAGAACTGAGAAAAGACTCCTGGGTGAAAAAAAGCAGAAGCTGCTGCAGAAGATTGTCAGTGGAGAGATTCTAGAGCAGGGACTTTGGTTTGCCTTTTTTAATGCCGAATCCCCTGGTGACTAGAACAGTGACTCTCAAAAATTATTTCTAGATTGACTGGAGTGATGGGGCCAAAAATCACATTCAGGGGGGCAAGTGGCATGGTGGTTAAGGATGCTGGACTTCCACATAGCTAATAGTGGTTTGAGTCCTGGACCTGGCAGCTTGCTTTCTCACTTTCTCTTTCTCTCTCTGGTCAAATTAAAATAAATAAATAATGTTAAATAAAATAATTCTTTTAAAAAGACTCAGGAAGTTTAAAAAAATTTTAATAAATATTTTTAGACAATATTTTAAATTTAAGAAAAATAAATAGGGACTAGCAGTTGGCGTAATGGCTATGTTGCTGAACTCCCATGTAGTCGACCGCGGTTTGAGTCCTGGACCCAGTGACTTAAACTCATGCCGGGCACATGTACATGCATGTCCAAGATCCCAAGGAGAATGGAGAAGGGATTGTGGCATGGCCATCCCCCCGGGGAGTGATTTCTTGCTTTCTATCTCTCTGTCTCTGTCTCTGTCTTTCTGACAAGCACATGTGCCCTATAGCAAAAACCTCTTCAAAAAAAAAAATATATATATATATATATATCTTACCTTCCCCAATATGTTATAGTCTTTGAATATAGAGATTCTGGTTATCTTTTTTTTTTTTTTTTTTTTTTGAGAAAAAAAGAAACATGGTTGAACATGGTTTGTGTCTCAGAACTGGTGACTTGCAAAATCATCCCAGGTAAGTGTGCATACATACCCAAAATCCCAGAAGAATGGAGGAGAAAGGATTGCAGCATGGCCATCCCCTATCCCGAAGGGGGATCAGATAATTCTCACTTTTCCTCTCACTTCCTCTTTCCAGCAAGCACACATGCCCTATGGCAAAAAAACTTTAAAAAAGAAAGAAAGAAAGAGAGAGAGAAAGAGAGAGAGATAGAGAGAGAGAGAAAGAAAAGAAAAGAACATAAAAAAAGAATAATTCAGGATGATAAACCCTGTGATCAGATTATTTCTGCCTTGAATTGAGTACAAGTTTGGATATTGAAATTTTTGCTCCAAAGTAATTTATGTAACTATAGTATATATTCTAGCATTTATTCTGGGTAAGCATTCATCTTTCTTTTTTTTAAAGTATCATCAGCAGTTGTTTAGTGAGAAAAATGACTGCTTATATTCAAGTCTGCCTTCTTATCCAGAAGTACATGCATTCTAATTCCTTTCCTTCTTTGAAAGTGTACTTATTTTTTCTTTCATGAATAAAAGATAGAAAGACAGTCCCCCCGACAGACTCTTAATACCATGATCCACCCCCAGCTCCCACCAGGCCCAGATCATGGGCACACATATGTCTAGTGTACTCTGGGAAGGCTCTGGATATGAACTTGGAACTTTTCCATGTTGGCTATCTTCTCAGAGCATCAAGTTTTACCACTGTACCACCATCTGGCCCGATACATGCTGATTTCCTTAAGCTAAATGTATTCCAAATAAGTATACATTTTCTAGTTTTGTTTTGTGTTTTGCTGGAGGGTGCATGTGCTTGATAGAGACAGAGGGAAAGGAGAGAACATCCCCCATGGAAAATGGTCATGCTCCATCTCTCCCTCCTTCGGGAGTTTGGGCACACATGCACATGTGCCCTGAGTGTTTCTCAAGCTGCTAGGTCTTGGACTTGACCCACATTGACCATGTGGGATATGGCTTCCTTAACCACCAGGCCATGGAACTGGCCCTGTTTTTCAGTTTAACTTATTCTACATATTAGGTTGTCAGAAAAGTCACAATGTATTTTTGCATAATATGTCATGACTTTTCTGACAACTCAATGGAATCATAATTTGGAGACAGAAGGGAGTTGTTAAATTATCTAACTTCTTAATTTCAGGAAACTAGAATCTGTTAGCTTTTATTTCTTTCCGTATGTATCAGGACCTATGCTATGCCTCTTTATGTGCATTATTTTATTTAATTTTTATACCAAGCCCTCGAAGGACATAATGTCATTATCCACATTTTATAAATCAAGAAAGTACAGAAATGGGGACCAGCAGTTGGCGTAATGGCTATGTCGCTGTACTCCCATGTAGTCACCCACACTGGCTTAAACTCATGCTGGGTGCGTGTGCGTGCATGCCCAAGATCCTGAGAGGAGAATGGAGGAGAAGGGATTGCAGCGTGGCCATCCCCCCTGGGGGGTAATTTCTCATTTTCTGTCTCTCTGGTGAGCACACATGCCCTATAGAAAAAAACAAAAACAAAAAAATAACCTCTCCCCAAAAAACAAAAGTACAGAAGTGTTAAAAACTTAGCAAGATCCCGTGTCTTGAGGAGCAGGGGCTCAGACCCAAGTATATCTGCTTACAAAGTCCATACCGCTATGACAGGCTATAACCACCTCCTGTAAGGCCAGGTAGGTTGCCCAAATTTATTCAAAGTATATTGTTTGCAATTCTCCATTCCATGTTCTTTCCATTGTTTAAAACTGTTTCAAGTGGTTGTAGGTTTGTTTTTTCTTTTTTGCTTTTTGTTTGTTTGGGTTGGATATTGTTACTGGTTTTGGGTGCAGATGTAACTGAAGGAAGAGACAATAAATTAAAACAGCTTTCTCTGTGCATCTTCCAATTCTACTACCAATTAACATATATTTACTCCTTTTTCTTTCTCTTCTGCTTTTCTCTTTTCTTTCTTGTCTTTCATTGTTGTCTTTATCCATTTGTTATTCTTTTCTTTCTCCTTTTTATCTTTTTATATTGGAAAAGTTTGAATATATAGAGAGAGGTAGAAAGAAAAGTATAATAAACCCACTTAATGAGCTTCAGCATTATTAAGTCATGGCCAGTAATGTTTCATTTTTATACCTCCTTCCATCCATTTTATTAATTCAAATTTATGCTGTAGGAATCCTAGTTGTCGCATCATCTAATTGACAAATTTTAAATTTGTATCTGTAAATTTTAAGGACACATATCTTTCTTTTTTGAGAGGTTTTGCTATAGGGTGCATGCACTCACCAGAAAAACAGAGAGAGACAGACAAAAAGCAAAAAATTGCCTCCCTACCCTCACCCCCACCCCACCCCCCCAGAGGATGGCCACACCGCAGTCCTTTCTCCTCCAGTCTCCTCTTGGGATCTTGGCAGCCACCGGGATGGGACTCAAACCGTGGTCAACTACATGGGAGTCCAGTGACATAGCCATTATGCCATCAGCTGGTCCCAAGGATGGATTTCTTTAAAGAAACATAAAACAGACCAACCAAGGATCTGGTAGTTCCTATAACTGTATCCTACATGGCTGACCAAGCAGTTGAAGTCAGACATAGCGAGTTGAAGACATGACAAGTATGTGTAAATGCATGCCTCGTATCTCTCTCTCTCTTTTTCTTTCTCTCCTCCCTCCCTCCCTTAGTCCCTTTCCCCCCTTCATCCCCTCCCTCCCTCCACCCCTGATCCCAGCAGGCTGGTAGTACAGTGTTCTCTGCTTTTTTTTTTTTAATAGGTTTTGCCACAGTGTGTGTGTACTCACCAGAGAGAGACAGAAAGTGACAGAGAGAGGGAAAGTGAAAAATCACCTCCAAAGGGGGATAGGCCACACTGCCAATCCCTTCTTCTCCATTCTCCTCCTGGAATTTTAGGCACACATGTACTTGACATGATTTTCAACCTGCCAGGTCAACCATGTTGAAGTCCAGTGCCTTAACTACTACTCCACCTCCTGGCCCCAAGGTGTTTTCTGCTTTTAAAGGTCAGTAGGAAAGGATCTAGGGTTGCTATATTACACTTTTTTGCTGTTTCTCTAACTAACTAATCTTTTAAGAAACTTTACTTCAGCCTCGTTTAGATTCTTCCAAAGGTTTTTAAATTGTAAAAGGACATTGGATAACCGATAAATCTGGGAGATAATAGATTTTTATATTTCTTGTGGAAAAAATGCCACAAAACTTTTTTCTCTTTTTTTGTCAAGTAGATTTTCTCCTCAAAAAGTGAATCCCGACTAAAACACCTGTTACAGCGAGCCCCAGATTATTGCCCAGAAACAATGGTAAGTCTTATTTAAGTTGCTTTGAAGCTTTTGTCTAAGTGAAGCTGTTTGATGAGTTACTTTCAGATTTAGCAAATTTCTAAATGTGATTGGAGGGACCAGCAGTTCATGTAATGTAGTTGACTGCAGTTTGAGTCCTGGACCCGGTGTCTTAAACTCATGCTGGGTGCATGTGCATGCGTGCCCAAGATCCCTAGAGGAGAATGGAGGAGAAGGGATTGTGGTGTGGCCATCCCTCCTGAGGGATGATTTCTCACTTTCTGTCTCTGTCTCTCTGTCTTTCTGGCAAGCGCACACGACCTATAGCAAAAACCTCTCAATAAATAACTAAATAAATGTGATTGGATTTTGTTGAACTAGATACTTTTTAAAAGATCTTTACACAAATGCGTTGATATAATACTATCTTTCATCCTTTATTGTCTATGCTATGATGTAAGTTTAAAAAGTCTTAATTATAAATGTATTCTAGTCTTTAAATTTTATCAAACTAGTTTGTCTAGAATTTGGAATTATATTTATTATTGTATTTTTACTGATTTCTTGAAAACTATAATAACTAAATCTTATATTTATTTTGATTATGAAAAGTTCAATTTGGAAGAAGAGAAATGTGTGCCTTTTTATTTTTCCTGTTTTTACATTTTCTGGCCTTATACATATATATATATTACAGAGTTTGTCAGTCTGGCCATCCTGGCTTTATACATATATATATTACAGAGTTTGTCAGTCTGGCCTTGTAACTTAAAACATCTAACACTTGGATTGTTCTCAATGTTTGGGAACATGGACCAGGGTAAGAAACACTGAGCTTGCATGAAAGAACCTCTTTAGATGTGATGGCTTGCACTATGTGAATGGGGACAAAATCGATGATCAAATGTTTGTGACTGACACATTTTCTTTCAGTCACCTGCAGACACTTTTGTCTCTATGCTTGGAAACAGTGATTACAATAAGTATCCTGAGTAGCCAGACGCATCCTTAGTGAACCTAGATGGAAAATGGGAAAATGGCAAAAAAATTTTTTTGCATCTCAGTTGTTCTTCCCTAAATAGCTGACTGATGTGAATATAGTCCTAGACCTTCTACTACACAGACAGCAATAATTTCTATAGAAATTGTCTTATTTAGCAACTGGTTATCTACATAAAAGCCTTTTGGTGATTATAATTTTAGGTTGAAATTTGGAGTTGTATGAACTCATCTTTGCCAGGTAAGCAATAGAGATGTAACATTTAGCACTTTAATGTTTAATTTATTTTGTGAATCTGAAATCTGTGTTGTAGTCCTAATGTGTACTCTAAAATATACATCCTTTCTTACCCTTTAACACCTAGATTTTCAAGTGCATGATTTATTCTCATTCACTGAATCTTTAAGTTTGCACTCTTGTCTTCCCTTCTGCCATTTTACTGAAACTAGGCTTTGAAAAGTCACCAGAATCTTTCGGTTCCTAGATCTTATGGCTTTTTCTCAGTACTTGCTCTCCTTGACTTTCCTGCAACACTTGTATTACTGACCACTACCTCCTTGTGACTCCACCCAGCCCGAGAACCTTATTCTCGCTCACCTTTCTCCTCTTACCTACCATAAGGACTGCGGTTATGCCTGTGTGCAGTCCACTTTCCTGCTCTCTCCACTCTCACTCTGGTAGTCTCATTTCTGCAGAGAACTGTGAACTAATCCCCTCTAGGAAGGTCACTCAAATCCAGATTATTGTTTGTGACTTATAGACATCTCTTCCTTGATCTTTGTAATAGATGGTATCTGAAGTGCAAATCTACAGTCAGGTTCATAACTGCCCTTCTTGTCAATGGCACTGGACTGGAAACGAACACGTTATCTTTCTAGTTCTATTTACTCCCCCTTGGACAATCTTAAATCTGTCCTCTCTACTTCTAGTTCACACCTTTACTATTACACCAGTAGAATATTGTCATAACTTTGAAATGTATTTCACCACACTATGTCTGCCCTCCTCGCCTCCTTCAAAAAGAATTTCTCAGGGGATATCTTCTTCATCTGACTAACCCAACTTCCTAGTTTGGCATTCACAGTCTCCTAAGATTGAAGCTCATATTTCAGCCCTGATAAAGTCCGTGCCTTTATGTGTCCTGGATTCTGAAGGCTGTCCAGTGTTCAGTTTGTGTTTCAGACATAGTCCATCTTCACCTTCTGGGAATTGCCCATGTCCTTGCCTGTTGTCCTAGCCATCTCTCTACTACTGTCCTGGAATTTTATGTATACACATACATTGTTCTACCAAACCATAATCTCCGAAATAGGATAAATCATAGGTTTTACCTGTTACCTAACTTCATAGGCCACAAAGTAAGCACCTAATAGAGTGCTTTGTGCCTCACGGGTGCTTAGCAAATGTAAATACTTGTGGAAGAATTTAGTATTTTCTAAGAGGCCACTGGGAATGTGGAAGCAGCACTGTATTGCATTATGGTATATAACAGCTCACAAAGTTTATGACCCACTTGGATTCTGCTTGGGATTCTTTCTGAAATGTAGGGATTCTGGAGAGTATACAGTAAGGATACAGAGGAGACTGTTCTAGACAATGAGGCTAGATGAGAGTCTGTTGTCCTTTGTACCCTTAAAACACGTAAAGATACAGAAACTTACAAATGCAGTATTTTTGGTGAGTTTTACAGTTGATGGGGTTTATATTTATATCAACTTTAAGGTAGTCTATATCATTACATTTTGAGAGCTTTGTCCGTGAACCATTTGTTTGCTTTTGTTTTGTTTTTTAGCAGTGTCTTCTTTTTATTGTACTAAGTACTAATTTCATTTGAAGAACTATGTTACTTGTTACCTTAAGTCCCTGACAATTTTTTTTCTAATGTAATAATAATAATATAACTCAATGTGGATGTGGGTTTACAGATCTATGTATTGCCTGGAAGCAGCATGAAGTGTTTCTTAAAGGTGATGATGTGCAGCACCCCTATGGGTTTTTTTCTCTAAATGATTTCTTGCATCTCCTCATTTTAGCCTAGGAGTCATTCATTGACATACATGATTGCAAAAGGAATCTAAAAAATACATTAGAGGGGGAACCAGCAGTTAGCGTAATGGCTATGTCGCTGGACTCCCACGTAGTCGACCGCGGTTCGCGTCCCGGACCCGGTGGCTTAAAACTCACACCAGGCGCCTGTGTGTGCGTGCCCAAGATCCCGAGAGGAGAATGGAGGAGAAGGGATTGTGGCGTGACCATCCCCTCTGGGGGGTGATTTCTCGCTTTCTGTCTCTATGTTTCTGTCTGTCTGGCGAGCGCACGCTCCCTATTGCAAAAACCTCTCACAAAAAAAAAAAAAAAAGTAAAAAAAAAAAAATAATACATTAAAGGGACCAGCAGATGAATAGCTGTTACATGGCTGGACTCCCACATGGCCAACTATGGTTCAAGTCCCAGACCTGTTGGCTTGGAATTCACGCTGGGTACGTGTGTGTGCCCAAGATCCCAGGAGGAGAATGGAGGAGAAGGCATTGCAACGTGGTCATCCCTCGGGAGGTGGGGGGTGATTTCTCACTTACCCTCTCACTGTCTCTCTCCAGCAAGTGCACACATCTTAAGGCAAAAACCTCTAAAATTAGAAAGTTTTTTATAATTTCATCATCTTTTGGTTTCATAGTAACATTAGAACTTTTTTTAATAATTTCATCATCTTTTGGTTTCATAGTAACCAAAAGATTGCTGTGGTAGAGAAGTCATTGCTGTGCATAAATTCAACCCAAGTAGTATGCAGTCATTTTGCTCCATAAGTATACTTTGTCAAAGCAGAAGTGGCTCACAGATGTCCTGTCTGTTCACAAAATATCAATTTTTAAACAAGATCATGGGTTTTATGCTCTTCTAGATGTTTAATATTTTACATGCATTAATACATGTATCCTTTTTTATTTGTTTGCTTCAGTTAAATCAGAACCTTTTTTTCACATTTACAGTCCAGAGCCCTCTCCCTTGCTTCTCTTACCCTGTGTGTCTTCCAGAAGAGATGCAACCTACCTAAGAGTCAATGAGCTAAAGAGAGTTTAGGGTAGGCAGGGAAAAGAGAGAATAAACAAAGGACCTGAACATTTGCTCTGAAGAGCCCTAAAGAGACTGAGGGCAGTGGGAGTAAGGGTGAAAGGAGAGGCTTAATGATTTTAAGGCCCTGCTGTCTGAGCTAGTTTTCAAATGAACACCTGACTTGACTTTTAGTGGTATCTATGAACCAGTTTGGTGTGCTGTCTATCTTTGTCACTCCTTAGAATAAAGCATTTGAACATTTTGTCTTTAAGGTGTGTTTAAGAAGTCTGACGGCTGGGTTGGCCTAGGCTGCTGTGAACTGGCTATTGCCTTGGAGTGTCGACAGGCATGCAAGCAGGTAACGCTGGGCAGCAGGCTTGCAAGCAGCATGGAGTGCAGTCTGGGTTTTAGCTATGCATTTTTCTTGAGCCTTGCCTACCTCACAGCTTTGGAAAGGTGGCCTACAAAAACTGTAACTTGTCGCAGCCTCAGTGACACAGGCAGTAGTGAACTGAAGTGCAGTGCTGAACACCATATGGCAGTCTGTGGGTATGGATCTCTAGTCAACCTGAAAAGATGCCAGTGCAGGGAACCAGCAGTTAGTGTCATGGCTATGTCGCTGGACTCCCACGTAGTCGACCGCGGTTTGCGTACTGGACCTGGTGGCTTAAAACTCACGCTGGGCGCGTGTGCGTGCGTGCCCAAGATCCCGAGAGGAGAATGGAGGAGAAGAGATTGCGGCGTGACCATCCCCCCTGGGGGGTGATTTCTCGCTTTCTGTCTCTATGTCTCTCTCTGTCTGTCTGATAAGCACACGCGCCCTACAGTGAAAATCTCTCCAAAAAAAAAAGATGCCAGTGCACACAGGCCCAGGATCCTGATGAGGGACTCACAGTGTGACAAAATCCTGTCAAGGGTGCCACAGTGTGACAAAATCCTGTCAAGGGTGCTTCTTTCTCTCCCTTTCTCACACAAACTCACTTATGTACTTGAGTTCTTTCTCGTGAATAAAATAAACGTTTAAAGAGCCCTGCAAATCTCACATCACTTGTACAGACCATTTCCTTTTAGACTTACTACATTTCGGGTATGGCCACTGGATATAAAAGACCTTTAGCTTTTTATTATTTTTTTCTCATCTTTCCTCTGCCACACAAAGAAAGAATATTACAGGAATTGAGGACTTTCATACCTTGTCCATAGTCATGCCGAGCCACTGCTGAGTACCCCCAGTGGTTCTGTAAATTTAGGTATGTTTATATGGGAGCAGTTGGCTTATTATGCTTTTATCTTTTATTTCTTCCATTATGGCTTTACCCTAAGCATGTTCTCATATCCCTTCTTCTCCTAAGGTAAGTGTGATTCCTGCGGTTACTCCTGACTTCTCTTTTTTTTTGGAGAGATTTTCGCTATAGGGCGCGTGCGCTCGCCAGACAGAGACATAGAGACAGAAAGCGAGAAATCACCCCCCGGGGGGATGGTCACGCCGCAATCCCTTCTCCTCCATTCTCCTCTCGGGATCTTGGGCACGTACGCATATGCGCCCGGCGTGAGTTTTAAGCCACCGGGTCCGGGACGTGAACCACGGTCGACTACGTGGGAGTCCAGCGACATAGCCATTATGCTAACTGCTGGTTCCCACTCTTGACTTCTCTTTGACTTGATAGGTTTTTGGCCCAGTTCAGATCAGACATCTGAGTTCTTTCGAACTGTGCACATTTTCACAGTGGTTCCTCAGAATGCTATGGGAAAACTGGCCTTCTTGGCTTTTCATGCTCCAGAGCGTGGGGAGTAGACTTCACTGGGAAACTAGGAATGTTTGTTTAGATGGATCTGAACCATGCTAGGAAGTTTTCTCTTATTCATCTTCTAGGGACTGGGCTCTGGGTATGAAACATGGTGTCACCGTTACTTTCACACAGATGGCTGGCAAGGCAATGGGACAGAAGGAACTAGAACAAGGAACCAGAGCCCATAACTCTGGAGCTGTATCTCTAAATGGGAATCGATGTTGTAGAACAAGTAACCATCTCTCAGCAGATTTGTTTTGGCATGTTTTACATAGAAACTACATACTTAAATGTGACGAATCCGTTGCTATTTCTCTGAGCAGCATTTTCCTCATTTATAGAGGGGATACTATCTTCTTCAGAGAATCACATTAAAATAGCTTTTGTCATTGTCTGACATAGTACCCCTTCCTTCTTTAGTTGCTCCCTTCACCATATTTGCCATTTTTCTGAGGAAATTAGCTCAGTAACTTCAGTATAAAAGCTTAGAAGTCATGAGTTACTTAGGAGTCATGGTTACCTTAGGAGCAGAATATGAGAACATGAGGGGTTAAAGGAAAAACAAAATGTAAGTGCCTGGCAGAGCTTCACAAGAAAATTTGCTGAAGCAGAGCTTCATAAGAAAATTTGCTAGAGTGGAATTCTGCTTAAAAAAAAAGTCCTCTGATTTACATTTCCTTCAAAGTCATCTAGTTTCTGAAATAACAAAAGGACCGTGTTATTATGTGAGATTAAAGTCATAAAAGCTGAAAGGAACGCCTCCTCTCTGGCTTCATAGAGTGAAGCTCTTGCATATGGAGGAGGTCCTAGGGGTGATGTTTGTTTTAAAGGAAGTGCATGAAATTTGTTTGTTATATGTTAGGTACTTTAAAATATTTGAGCTTAAGGTTCTTAATGAAATAAAAAATGCTATAGCAGCAATTCATACATACTAATTTGTGTTCTTTTTTTGTTCTATGGTGAATAGCATGTGTAATAAATTAATGAAATGTTTTGGCTTTCAGGCATCTTCAAAGAATGACATTTCTAAAGTTTGCAGAAAAGAATATGAGGTATGCATTTCGCTTAACAAATTTGGAAGACTCCTCACCTGTTAGCAGAACTTCACTTAATAACATCACTTAAATTTTTTAAATGCATTTATATTTATACAGATTGTCTTTCCCTTATAGAAAATAGAGCTTTAACAAAAATGGCATTTACCTGTTTAGAAATGTTTTGGCTTTATTTGTTTTTTGTTGGAATTAAGTATTAATTTTAAGAAAATTATTAAATCTCATATTCAAAGTATTTCACATATAATGTTTTCATACCAAAGCCATTGGTTGTATCTAAGGTTGTGAAATCATTTTTTTAGATTCTCTATCTTCTTTTGTCCCTTTATCTCGTGAGCCATTTGGGTATCCCTTTTTGTAAGCAATCTCTAATCATAGACACAAGTAATCAAACAAACAAAATCACATTGCTAGTGTGAGTAGCTTCCAACTTTCCTAGCATCTTGTATCTGGGGGGGGGGAAATACTAAGTTATAAAGACAGTATTAAGTCTTAAAGACTCCTGTCTCCCAGTGGTGGGTTTTCGAGCACTGTCTTATCTAGACTGGGAAATGATAGGGTAAAGGTGGAAGAGATATTTTACACAATGCAAATAAGTGCAGAAGATTGTCCTTGATGTTTAAAAACTCCTCAGTGGAGATACTTTGTTCAGTTTTTGGAACTCCATTGTTAAATGTGACACCATTATTATTTTTCATAGCATAAGACCATGTAATTCATGGTACTTAAGTGCATATTCCTCATTCATCATTTTTATATCTAAACATTGGTATTCCTGTTGCTTTTTATACAGTTCTTTGGGAGGAAGATAGAATAATTCTCACTTAATTGCTTCTAGATTATAGTTCTGATTTATTTTTCCTTTTTCAAAGCCTATAATTATATCTCTTGATTAACATTTTTACGCTAGAGGGTCTTACCTATCTTGTGTCCTTGTGTACTGTTTGCTAAGTTATCTCTGTTCTACTGAAGACAAATTTCCAAATTAACTGTAATCTCTCTGTTCTTGCTATAAAATAAAGGATCTTTCTTGTTTTTTCTTATTTCTCTAACTTTGAAATGACCAGTTTCAGTTTCTCATGATCTAACTGACAATTCCTTCTTTTCTCCCACATGATGTCTGACACTGTCCGTCTCCTGTAGCCTGTCCTCCATTAGTTTACTGTGCTTCCTTCTCTTGTCTGGATTTCTACATTGCCCTAGGAGGCCTGCCCATATGTGTTCATGAAGGACGGGACAGGAAAGGTAAGAGAGACTGTCTTATGGTAGGACAGGAATACTGTCCTATGGTAGGATTCCAAAGAAGAGTTTATTTTTTCCAGTTCCTTATTTGGCCAGAATCAAGTGACCATTTTCCAAGAATCTCCATGCCAAGAAGGTTCTTTCATTTCTACATATTAAAAGCATACCCCACAAATTATTAAAGATAATTCAAGACTGAATTTGATTTCTTATATATTATTTGGAAATAAGAAAGAAAGGCAAAAGCACTTTATGCAGAAAAAGAGTTTTACATTATAAACCCCAAATAGCAGTCACTGCATGCTTGTCTAGAGATGGCTATTTGTCATAAAGTAAATTTGGTATGCCAGAGCCTATTTTACCTAGAGTGATTGTTTTTCAGCATCTGACTCACTCCTGAAACTAGGCTTTTAATACCTTTTCCTTAGCACTGGAGTGATCTCGTGTAAACCTCCAGATGTGCAAGCCAGTCCTTTAGGTTTACAAGTTTAGTGGTAGAGTTTACGCTGAGGGATGGTTTTGTGCAGTTTAATTAGGGATTCAGAAAGCAGGTGATTCTGTTTGTAAGAGTTAATGTTTACCTTTATAGGTAAGCTGCTGTAGAGGTCCTGTTGAGATTTCCTAGAAATGTAATTAAGTAAATGAAGTTTAAAAATTCTAATGCCATTTGAGATTCTGTTTTGTTTCAACCAATCCAAGATAAACCAGTTAAATGTAAAGCATTGTTAACCTGATTTTATAGGGTCTAGTTTCTTTTTTATGCAAATTAATAAGCATTTATTGAATACTAAGAGAAACTTTTATATATTAGAAAGCACAAACTTTGAAATCAAACTTGGGTTAGAATTCTTATTAAGCTACTTACAGCTTAACTTCAGATATTGAAGAATTATATCTAATTGAGTCAAGCTAATTAAAATATTTATTTAAAATATATATTGCACATACAAGGACTCAGGGAAATCAGAAAGCAAAATGAGCAAATTTGGAGTTTCCAGGAAAAATTTGCAAAAGAGAGAGATGTGAAACAACTAGATAAGACTGTAGATAAAAGGCATGTTAGCAAAAATGTTCATGACTTGTACAGAGGGCACAGAGAAGAAGATGGGCCTATTTTGGGCTAAGAATCTATGCTTAGAAAGGCAAAATGGGACCAGATCCTGGAGAGGTGAGGTTTGGGGTCACAGCCCAGTGATTAGCAGGTGATGATAAAGATTCTATAACAGGAGACTAACATAAGAAAGAGCGAAGCCTGTATTTTAGAAAGCTTAAACTCAGGAACCAGCAGTTAGCGTAATGGCTATGTCGCTGGACTCCCACGTAGTTGACTGCGGTTCGCATCCCAGACCTGATGGCTTAAAACTCACGCCGGGTGCGTGTGCGTGCATGCCCAAGATCCCGAGAGGAGAATGGAGGAGAAGGGATTGCGGCGTGACCATCCACTGCGGTTCGCGTCCCGGACCTGATGGCTTAAAACTCACGCCGGGCGCATGTGCGTGCGTGCCCAAGATCCCGAGAGGAGAATGGAGGGAAGGGATTGCGGCGTGACCATCCCCCCTGGGGGGGGTGATTTCTCGCTTTCTGTCTCTATGTCTCTCTCTGTCTGTCTGGCGAGCGCAGGCACCCTATAGCAAAAACCTCCCAAAAAAAAAAAAAAAAGAAAGAAAACGTAAACTCTTCATTGTGTGCTGGCTATGTTTTAGATCTCCAAACCTATCTAACTTAGCTAAAAAGAGATAAGGTCCACAACTAGGATATAGCAGTAGAACTGACTATTCAAAACTAAACTAGTTCTGAAGGTAGAATCTGTCAACAGGCTTTATTATGATGGATTGAATATAGGGAGATGATGTCCGGAGAGAGAAAAGAAACAGTTCTAAACTTTTAAACCTAGTTTCCTGGCATGCATTTTCTATCCTATGCTTGAGGGTACAATTTAGAACTTCCCTTGCTGCCAATAGGGTAGGCTTGGTACCTGGACCAACTTTCTCTGTGGAAAAATTTTAAAATGCTGGATTAATGTGCTGGAAAGAAAATAAGGAATCCTGAGGCTAAAAATTAGGTATAGGTGCAGATTCAGAGAAGTAAGAGCATGGGCAGAGATATTCACCTTGGTATGATACTCGCTGAATCAATTTTTACAGCTTTGTAGCTCCAAGGGGCTCAAAAGTCAGGAGACAATTTCTTGGTTCTAAGTGAAGGTGGAAAATCTAATAGAAGTTCCTCTCCTTTCCCACCCATAAATTTGGAGTCACAAAGGGGCTCGGTATCAGGGTAATCAAGAAATGTGCTCATTGCCTTCCCTTCCAGGGACCTACAAGGAAAATTCTATCTTTCAAATCTTAATGTTGTCTCCATTGAAAATGTGTAGCTATAAACTGGCCCTCACTTGTTTGTAATACTAGGTAGGTGTTCATAAAATCTCAAACTAGGAACTTACTTAAATTGGTTTTACAAAAGTAGTGGCCCTTCCATGCCTGAAAAAGAAGCTAACACAGATCCTCCCTGGAGAAACTGATCTTTATTCTAGACCTCTTGATATTTCCATAGATTCATGTCTAAGTAAAATAAGCAATTCACAGTAAAGAAATAATAAAACAACTCACCAGAAAATCAAGTTCATCAAACAAGGGCCAACAGAAACAAACAGAATCAAACCTGAAGAAATATCAATACAGAAATTTTCAGATGTAGGCCCTGCCATAGCAGCTCAGTGGTAGCATGCTACTCTACTGCATATAACTGGTGTTACATGGGGGAAAATCAGGGTTTGGTTCCCAGGTCAACACATACATGCAAGAATGCAGCTTGAGACCCTGTTGAGAGTGCCTCTCTCCCTTTCTCAACAAATAAATTTTTTAAAAAAAAAAAAAAAAGGAAAGAAAAAGAAAAGAAAAGAGGCCAGGCAATGGCCCAATGGTGTACAGTGCTCTGAGATGCTAGTTCCACATGGGAAGGTCCTTGCCCCATGGCCCAATTTGCTTTACAGCAAACAGCCATCTCCACACCATGTTGTGTATATGCACACCCATGATCCAGACTGAGGCTGGAGGTGCCATTGTGCCACGAAGACCCTGTTGGGAGCACTCCTCTTTCTCTCTCTCTCTCTCTCTCTCTCTCTCTCTCTCTTTCTCTCTTTCCGTCTCTCTAATGGAAGAAAGAATTTCACTTTAAAAAAAAAAAAAAAGGAATAGGGACCTGCAGTTGGCATAATGGCTATGTCGCTGAACTCCCATGTCATCGACCGCAGTTGGAGTCCCAGACCTGGTGACTTAAACTCACACCAGGCACGTGTGCATGTGTTCCCAAGATCCCAAGAGGAGAATGGAATGGAAGAGAAGGGATTGCGGTGTGGCCATCCCCCCTGGGGGGTGATTTCTCTCTTTCTATCTCTCTGTCTATCTCTGTCTTTCTGGCAAGCGCACGCACCCTATAGCAAAAACCTCTCCAAAAAAAAATAATAATAATAAAATAAATAAAAATAGTCAGGTGTAAACGAAAATATCTAATATATTTAAGACATGAAATAGTCTTGGGCCAGCAGTGGCATAGTGGTTAAAGTGCTAGACTCCTCTATGGCTGGCTGCAGTTCAAGTCTCAGACCCAGTAGCTTGATCATGCTGTGCTTGCCCAAAATCCCAGGAGGAGAATGGAGGAAAAGGGATTGCAGCATGGCCATACACCCTGGGGAGTGACTTCTCACTTTCCCTCTCACTGTCTCTGGTGAGTGCACACATCCTGTGGCCAAAAAAAAG